CGGATTTACATAGAACGAGTTTAGTTAAATAGCTTGCCTTTGTGGAATGAAACATTATATCAAATTCATGAACTACTTTAAAGTTATAATGCAAAAGCTAAATTCTCATGTATTTAATTCAAAATATGTGTGTGTAAAGAATTAAGTACAATAGTATACATTCACAAATTTATCCAATTCTTGACCTTAAAAGTCAAGTTTATCCTTTTCTTTGCTCGTGGAATTTATATATCCCCAAACTTATTTTCTTTTATTCTCTTCCTAATGTTGTAATCTAAGGTTGATTTTCAAATCACTACTCCTTATTCTTCCAAGTTTGGTTAGATTTACTAATTATAGTTCAATATATCAACATATGAGGATTTTCCTTATTTTTGATTGCTTCAATCTCCAAAAATCAACCATGTTGTTAACTCCTTATCAAAGGTCTAGTTTTCTAAAGCAAGTGGTTGAGGCTTAATCAAGGCATGTGGTACGTCTTCCATTTCATATATATATATATATATATATATAAGGATGTCCCTATATTAAGCTTTTTAAATGACCCCTGTAGCGAGATTTATATTGATAACTCTCAAATCAGATGACTTTAAAGCATCAAGTTTTAAATCCTTGTAGGCTTAATTACTCAAGTCATAAAGGCTCTGAAGAGACGTTTCAAAATGAGATTTATCATATTTGTCATCATTAGGATCTTTTAGGGTAGCTTCATAATAAGGCAGTTCTTTTTTTTTTTTTTTTCCTTTTTTATGCACTTATTAGTGTAATGTCCCGTATTAAATACTCATTCTCGAAAATCAACCTCTAACTTAAGAGTTTCATCCAATTTTCATTCTATCGACCACAGATAGTCTATACAAAATTTAGCATAAATGAAATCCACATCGATTTTCAAGTTTTTCTACAACAGCTCAACCACCCAAGCTATCTTGGATTTGGTTTTAGATATAATAACGTTTAGTTGTTGTTTGGATTTAGCATCTAAGTTCTCCATTTCAACCTATAAATATGGATCAACCTATTCATGTACAATGCTATAATCCATTCGCGTGCATGGCTATATCATGTTCTAGATGAATAAGCAAAAAATTAACTAAGGCATATAACTTTTCCACAATTTATTAATCAACACATTTTCTCAATTATATGAATCAATGCCAACGATGTTATTTAACTCATACAAGCATGCAAAAAGAACTATTTTTTTTTTTTAAATAGCACACAAATTACACAAAATAAAAAGTCTAAGGCAATGAGACAATTAAACAATTTGTATTTTATCCTCAAACGTAAACTAAACATTGTCCTAAATGTGAAATTAAAGGAAAATGAGGAGAGCTTCTTTGAATTGTCTTTATTGTAAATGATGATATGGTGCTGTGATATTGGATTTGATGGATTCTTGAGGTAGAGAGATGGAAAGCTTAGGTTGCCACCTAAGGAGCGCTTCTTTAATGTTATTAGCTTGACAAAATTAAAGTGCCTAATTTAGATCTTCAGGTTGCACCTTCTCTCTTATTTCCAAACTTATTCCTCGGCTTTGAACTCTTCTTCAATATAGTATGGCCACTAGGATTAGGAAGCTACTTCAACTCCTGTAGTCTTTAAAATCTCTTTTGGTTTGGTAATATTGGAAGGTTCCAAAGGTTCTTCAATGTAGTTCTTTTTGTGTCAGGTGGGTCGGCTTCTTGAGCTAAAATGAAATCCACCACTTCCTTGCTCATTGTGTAGTTTCTAGTAGCAGCTGTATCAATCTTTGACTTAACTAATTGCCATGTACCAATCTAGAGGGTAATAGAACAATTCTTTTTTGAAATTTTTACACTCTACCGTGTCGATTGAATGGACCACGTGGCAAGTGTTGACCTTTTTGGGGGATTTCTTCGTTTGATAAATGTTGAACATGACATGCTCTTCATTTACCTGTAGTGTTAGTTTTCATCCTTGTACATTAATTATAGCTTTCCTAGTTGCCAAGAAGGGTTGGCCAAGAATTAATTGTAATTTTTGAACTTCTTCCATATCTAAAATTGCAAAGTCCATCGAAAAGATGAACTTTTCAACTGTAATGAGCACATCTTCAATGATCCCCCTAGGGTACATGATGGATCTATCAACAAGTTGCAAAGTGATTGTGGTTGGTTTATTTCTCCAAGACCCAATTTTTTGAATACAGATAGTAGCATCACATTGATGCTAGCTCCAAGGTTTTACATTGCCTTATCAAAAGTAGAAGTGCGAATTGTGTATGGAACAATGGAGCTATCCAGATCTTTTAGTTTATGAGGCTGCTTTTGCTAGAGAATGACACTACATTCTTTTGTCAGCTTGACTGTCTCAAATTCTACCAGCATTCTTTTCTTTGACATCACTTTCTTAAAAAAATTGGCATAATTTGGTCTTTGTACCAAAGCATCAGTGAAAGGAATATTGATGTGAATCTTCTTGAAGACTTTCATGATAATTAGCTAACTCCTTGTAATTTTTTTTTCTTCAAGAACCTCCGTGGATAAGGTAGTTGTGGCTTCAAAATGGGAGGATTATCAGGAAATGAGATTGAGTTATGTCGATAGTTATTCTTTGTTGTCTCTGCCTCAATTTTTTGCTCTTCAACCAGTTCTTCTTCAACATGATCTGAAGCAAATGTAGGGACTACAGCCTCTATAGGCTTACTCTCTTCAAGCTTCTTTTAGTTCTTCAATGTAATGGCATTGCAATGCTCAATTAGGTTAGCCTTTGTGTTAATAGGAAATTTCCTTTTTTTTTGCTAGGATGTTATTGTAGTTGCCAGTTGACCAATCTAATTCTTCATTGTAGCTCCCATGTGGGTCATACGAGTCTCAATATTTTCAAGTCTGGACTCATCATTATTAATCTCGCCCTTATATTTGAAATAAAGGTCCCCAAGATATCCTCCCGTGATGGCTTTCCTTCAGATGCCTGATTACTGAACCCAAGTGGCGGTTGCAGGACATTCGCATTGTTACCATAAGAAAGGTTCTCGTGGTTTCGCAATTCCAGATGGTAATGGTTTGCTGAGTAGTATCCTCTCGGATTGAAGTTTCTGTCATTTACATACTAGACTTGCTCATTCTCTGTCTTAGACTCATGGTATGAAATAGAAGCAACCATGATAGTAACTGCATTTTTTTTTGAGTTCATTGTGATGCTAATGTAGCTATTTGAGGAGTTAGAGAGGACATTTGAGTTGTAAGGATTGTAATGGTGTCTACCTCATAAAGACCAACTACTTTCTTTGCGCTTGAATGCTCATTTGACCATTGATAGCTATTAGTGGCTATTTCAACCAGCAGAGAGTAAACTACGTGTACAGTCTTGGACATCAAAGTTTCTTCAATTGCTGAATCCACTACTATCTTTGTCTGACCATTCAGCTTGTTGTAGAAGATTTTCATTTGCATCCAGTCCTAATAACCATTGTTGAAGGCATCTTCCAAGTAGATCCTTGAATCTCCCCCAAGCTGTATAAAATGGTTCTAAGTCTTTTTGTTTGAACTGGCCTATTTCACTTCGCAATAGAGCTGCTTTGAAAGGCGGGAAAAAATTTGAGAGGAACTTCCGAGCTAATCCCTCCCAAGTTGTGATGGATTCATGTGGCAAAGATTAGAGCCATTCCTTGGCTTTATCCTTCAAGAATAAGGAAAATAAGCAGTGTTGAATGGCATCTTTGGTAATGCCCTTTATCTTCACGGTATCACAGATTTCAAGAAAATAACTGATGAGCATATGGATCATCTGTTGGACATTCCCCAAATTGATTCTATTGAACCATGTATATCAATCATGGCTTTAGTTTGAAGTTATTTACAACCACAATACCAGATTAGTCGTTGACCATTGGACTGACATAATCTCTAATGGCTTGGTGTTGAATGTTCTGATTCACTGCTTGTTTTGCCATTGCTTCGAGTTCGTTTCTTTGTCTACCCCCTAAAAATTTGAAAGTTCATTCAATTTTAGGATCAAATGTTGATTGTCTAATGCTCCTCGATCTTCGCATAACCTTGAAACAAAGAACAAGCAAACTACTTAAAAGAAAATAAATCTAAATTAAAACAAAAGCTACTTGGCAATAAATAATAGTAAAAATAAAATAAAATAATCATCGGCAACGGCGCTGAAAACTTTTTACGCATTTTCTATAACGTAAAATATATTGTAAGTGTACAATATCGAATTTTGTAATATACGAATGTAGTTAGAGTGTAGAACCCTCAAAGATTATAATTTAATTTTATACTAATTACTATAATTATGTAGACTCTGTTTTATCTAGAATAAATGAATTTCTAAATCAGTGTTTTATCTAAACTAAGGATGATCGTGATGAATTCAATGAATAAATGCAAGAAGTTATATGAATTAATCAATATAGGAGAGCTTAGGATATGATTTCACCCAACTATCAAATATGATTTTCAAAAACTTAATTAGTTATCTCTAATAAAATGTTTTCTAGTTGTGAAAGGGTTGAAACGACAATTTTCTGATATAGCTTTGTAAAATTGGTGTATATGAACTATAATGGCTGTGGATTATCTTATATGAGCCGCTAAGTTCAATAATGGGCCGAGTCAAATATGTGCAAAATATGTACTATAAGGCTGATATAGACAGGTATAAATTATTATTTACTCAAATTTATTCCATACTATAACCCCTTTATTAATTTATGGTTCATCAATTGTTTGTAACGTCATAATTGTTATTAACGTGGTACAGTCCAAACAATAGGCAACAAGGGGAAAGCTACACACAGAGTTTGAAATGTTCTTGCTCTTTCATTTATTCAAATGAATTAAAACCCTCTTGTATAAGTCGCCTTTTGTCACCCATTATTTGACAAATTGAAGATTTTTGAATAGTATGTGTTGCTGTGTTGAAGAATGTGTGATTAAAAATTAAAGAAATTTTATTGGTTTTGTGTACAATATTTTATTCCGTGAATGTGCAGTAAAAAATAATACTGTAGCAAACAATTTAAAATTTTAAAGGCCGTCAAACAAGACCTAAATTAAATGCACATATTTAGAAATAGATAATAAGGTACTACAACTAGCAAGAATCCTTAAATCTACGTTACTAATGCATAACGAGGTAGAAACTACGAATAATCGAGATGCTGATGTGTGCAATTAACGTATAAGACGCGCAGCCGTGGTGCTTGCCTCCCTCTATTTTCCGACTTTCCTTCCACGAAAGGGCAACACGGGAATACTTTGTTCATTCCTAAAGAAATTGTCGGGATCGATGGCTGTCTTAATTTTTACCAATCTGTCAAAATTATCCTTGAAATACTTCATCCCATAAACCAAGCCTTGGTTATAACTATGTCTACCATTATCCGTCGTGCCAATGTCCAAATCCCTGTAATTGAGGTATGCTTCTCTTGGATCATTCGATACAAAAGGAGCCATGTATCTGTACATTTCTCTCGTCTGTTCAATGTAAGTCTTTTCTGCTCCTTCTCCTTCGTCGTCCCAGTTAACGGAATACTGAATCTTGAATATGTTCCCGGCCCGGTGAGGGAATGGAGTTTCAGAATCCGGAATTTCACTCATTCTTCCACCGTAGGGATTGAACACTAGCCCTACCTTTCCTACTTCGATGATTTTCTCGAACAAAGATTCCAGGCCGTTCTTGGAAATCGGTGTCTTTAGGTAATCAGATTTCCTCTTCAAGAAGTTGACAGAGTTGGGAGTTCGATTCAGCAGAACTTGTGGCTTTGTAGTGTTGCCGAAACTAGCCCAAAAGAGAAGTGAATAAATCCAAGACATTTCCTTAAAATCTCCCTCCTTTAATCCCAATTCGGGGAGCTCAGAATTTGTTATCGACATTAGTCGACTGGCATCACCGAGGAACATTCCAGTAAACGTCGCTCGAACAGACATGTTCTTGTTCCTCGTAATAGGTTGTAACATAGTCCTTATGAACAAATTATTGTCGATTTTGTCTGCAATATATTGATATTGATAAACCGCTTCGATTGCATTGATCTTCTCAATTCGAAACACTGTAACAACTTCTGGTACAGGGACTAGCTTGATTTTGTAGGCCAAAATGACACCAAAACTAGCACCACCACCACCTCTAATAGCCCAGAAAAGATCCTCCCCCATTGATTTCCTGTCCAAAACTCTGCCGGTGGCATCCACGATCTTTGCATCTATCAAATGGTCGACTGTTAGGCCGTGTTTGCGCAGCATGTTGCCATAACCTCCGCCACTTATGTGGCCGCCTACGCCCACCGTCGGGCAAACCCCGCCGGGGAATCCATGGACTTTGCTTTTTTCCCAGATTCTATAATAGAGTTCGCCAAGCATGGCACCGGATCCTACCCATGCAGTCTCGGTCTCCATGTCGACTTCGATCGACCGGAAATTAAACACGTCGAGAATGATAAACTCGACATTAGAAACATACGAAATGCCCTCATAATCATGGCCACCACTGCGGATTTTAAGTTGAATTCCGAGTTTCTTGGCACACAAAACAGTTGCACTAACATGGGATTCCTCGAAAGGGGTCACGATTATGCTCGGTTTTGGGGTTGTCGAAACGTTGAACCGGCGGTTTCTAATGTACGATTCAAGAACAGTTGTGAAGGAGGGGCTAGTGCGATTGTATACAATTTTTGATATTTGGTCATTTGGGACATTGTTTTGTGCAAAACATCGAGAAAAGTTGTCGTAAAGAGAATCTGAATCTGATTGTGCAGAAGAAAATGAGTTGATGGAAGAAAGAGAAAGTAGAAGTAGAAGCACCATCTCAAATGTTCAAAAATTCTCTTTGTTTATGGAAGAAGGTACTGGGTGTATATGGGGGAAATGGATTATTCTAGCGGTATCTAAAAGGGTATCCAAGGGCGTTCATAATGGACATTCGGCGCAAACCCTCCTCCAACAGGGGGACACCCTTTGGTACATGGTAATATACCATTAGAATAATCCATGGGAAACTTGAACTCCATATTTAAAAATTTATTTTTAACCACAAAAATAATTTTACACATAAACAAAATACTTTGTAAACACACATTTTTCAAAAAATCAATATTATAAAATTTGTTTTACAAAAAATGTCGCTCAAACAAACCCTATGTTTATTAGGCCATACACTGATTAATAGGCACATGAATGAAAATTGGGAAGGCCCCTTTTTCAGGTTTTGATAAAAATTAAGATTTTAATATGTTTTGATAATTTTTTTTTTATCAAGGTGTCCGTCTTCAGCGACTATTTTTTGGGTCTGTGATCTGGCCCCTCTTCATACAGATCAGTTAAACCGCGAGATGTGCCTCCAACTGATCAGGGTCCGAGCACCTCTCCAACTGGACTGCTAAAGTGTCTAGTGAGCCAACCCATGTTGCGCCTTACCTTCCAAAACACTCCTACTTTTTAGGATAAATCCTGTCTTCCAGTATGTGCCTTGCCTTCCAAGAGCCCAAAAAATCAAACCCACGACCTCTGATTTGCCAGTTTTGAGAGAACCCGTCCTTTGTCAGTGGAGAAGTGCCCCGGGGGGCTATGTTTTGATAATTATTTATACAATGTGTGTTTAAAAAGTTGTAGATTCGTGTTTGAACTAAATAAGGTTTGTAGTTTTTATGGCATTGGTATGTTCGCTTGACTCAACAAGATGTTGGATTGGAAACATCGTTATCTTGTCAAAAACATGATTTTTAAAAATTTTATAGAATTATATTTTTGCATATTTCTCTATAAACTATAAAATTAGTGAACGTTTGGACGGCATATTTTCGGAAAATGGCAGTTGAAATTCTCAACTTTTGCATTTTAAGTAACAATTGGGCAACTAACGAACAATTTTACCTTTATATATATAGTTCATGAGTCAGAAATTTATCAAAACGAAAATATTACCTTTAAATAAGAAAAAAATTAAAATAAATAACAATCAATAAAGAAAAGTAAACGACATGTTTTGCATATGATTTATTTAACAAACAAACTTGCGATATAATTTGTAAATTCGATCAGAAATATTGTTGACCTGGAAAACAAGATAATAAAATCCTTCTCACCGAACCAGCTGGATTTTTTTCGTTTCCCTCTATAACTCTTTGTTAAACGATTTGAGAAGAGAAAATGACTATTTTCGAGGAAAATATTTTAATTTTAGCCGTCTTTCTCTATCTCTAGCATGTTTGCTATCTATTTCAATTTTTAATTTGTAATCTGGTCCCGTTCATGTGTTCTTGACAATCGATAAAATTAATGTATTTAACTTTTATTTCTAAGACAAATTAATTCTATCCTAACCACACCCAAAATTTATTTCTAGCCCAAATTTGAATGGATAGAACGCATTAAATTTTAGATTATTTATATGATGCAAACATGATAAACGTTATTCCTAATGTCTATTGTACATATGTTAATTTTGCTGCATTCTAAATTTATTGTGAGTCTCCCAACACCTCAATAAACAACTAATTATCTAACTTGTGACTAATCAATTAAATAATGCAATGAATATGCAAAATTAATCAATGAACGCATAATACTAAACTTCCAGCTTGAATTAGAAATAAATAACAAATAAGGTTTATCTTCATCCAAAGCAAAAGCAAATCTAGCGTAGCATATTAATATATAAATTACAAGAAAAATAATAGAAAATATCATCTGGATCATGAAAGAATACATAAGATGTTGATCTTCAAGTCCAAAATTGAATTCTTCAATTTCTTGGTGCAATTGGCCTCAATTCTTGCTAGGGCTTGATCTGTTTTATCAAAATATGGTAATTGGTCATTTGTTCTTGATGAATTTGATGATACTGTTCTATATGAAGAGGCAAAAGAAGGTTTTTTTTTTTTTTTTTTTTTTTTTTTTTTTTTAAATGTGTAGCCCTTGTTTCCTATTTATAAGAGTCGAAAAATAGGTCACAGAAGATAGACGATGCATTATCTAAGAAGAATGATAGATGTGGACAAATGGTTTTGGAATAAGATCTATTTGCACTTGAGATCATGGCAATTCCTTTATAGAAAGGCCTCAAACAGCCTATGATAGAGACGTACGATGGAGTCACAAATCCGCTTGACCATCTGCGGACCTTCATTGATTAGATGATACTCTATACAGTACTGAATGTAGTGATGTGCCGATCATTTTTCCCAACAATAAGGTGAGACACAATAGGTTGAGTAGCAACTTTGGCACCTTAGTTTATGAAAACATTTGATGAGCTTTCTAGGTATTTTATGGCTTACTTCTTAAGTAGCAAGAGGAAGAGAAAGATAGCCATTGGATTGATGCAGGTTGTATAAGAGAAATATGAACATTTGTAGGAATATTTGGTTGGGTTCCGCCAGGAAAACAGTTAGTATAAAAGACCTTCAAATTTCTGCAGTAGTAGCTGCATTGATGAATGGGGTGTAGAGTAGTACCTTTAAGATGTCACTCTTCAAAAATCACTAGAATCAGTGCATACATTTTTGAAGAAGAAAGACAAGTATGTTCACCATAAAGAGGTAGATAAGGTCACAAAAAATCTCAGAGAAAGATGGGAGCTAGAAAGTCACAAGCGAAAGTCAATTGATGAATGAAAACCCATTGACAGAAGCATGCCAAAAAATGGGCACATGAACGAAGGGCCTGCTCAGGATCAGTCGACCAGGCAAAGGTGAGAGGAGGTCAAGGCCTTCAGCTTTTAGAACACCCTGCGTGCAATGGGACATGAAAGAACTCGAATGGCCAAAGTCGATCTTGACATTTGCTAGTAAAATAAATCAAAGCAAGTATTACCATTTCCTTAAGGATTACGAACATGATGCTGAAAATTACATGTAGCTTAAAGAGGAGATCAAGTATATTTTAAGATAAGGGCTCTTTACCAAGTATGATTAAAATTATAGAGAGAAAACAGTTGAGGGTCATCCCCCATCGAAAGTAGGAGTTATAAATGTGATAATTGACGGAATAGAGATAGGCGAAGACTTAAATTTGGCTAGGAAAAGCTATGTACACTTCTTTAGAGCCTGCTTTATCCCGAAGAATGCAAGGTTCAATCACATTATAGCTTTTGGTGAGAAAGACTTGATTGGAATATGAAGCCCCCACGATGATACCTTAGTAGTGGTGGATGACATAGAAAATTTTGATGCTAAAAGGACGCTGGCCAATAGTGGAAGTACAGCAATTGGGATGCCTTTTCGATTTTGCAGAGATCTATTCTGAGAAATTTAAAAAGATCACCCCTCTACAAGGCTTTATAGGGGCAACTATGATACCAGATGAAACTGTGGAACTTCGGATCACGCTAGGCACTTATTCAACAACTGAATTGATGATGACAAGTTTCTTAGTTGTCAAAATCCTCATGTCCTACAATGCCATCTATGGCCAACCATTGTTAAACACTGCTAGTGCCGTTCCTTCAACTTATCATTGGGTTATGTATTTCTCGACTAGGAGAGAGGGGTTAGGTATGTAAGAAGAGATCAACATGCATCGAGCAAATGCTACATGAACAATATAAAAGTAAAATATTCACCACCAGTTATGATGTTGGACGTAGAGCCTCCAAAGGGATAGATTGAGCCGTCTGACATGACCATTTTTTTTTTTGTATTAGAAGGGTACAAGTTCAGTATTGGAGCACATTTGAAATCCAACAAAAATGAAGAGTTGGTAAAACTTTTGGCTAATAACTTGGATGTTTTCACATGGAGCCCAGGTGACATTCCAAGGATCAAGTTGACATTCCAAGGATTAGCACAATAGTCACCCAGTAATGTCTCGTGTTCTACAGGGGCCAAGCCTATGAAGTAGAAGGAAAAAAAAAATCTTTGGAAAGGCAAGCATCGACGAAATTGGAGGTTGGAATTATTGTAGGTAGGTTTCATTCAAAAAGTGCAATATGAAGTTGTAGGTAAATGTTGCGCTTGTAAAAAAATTAAATGGAAAATGGCATATGTGTGTAGACTACATTGGGGAGAACAAGGTATATCCAAAAGATTCATACCCCTTGCCCTGGATAAACCACATGGAGGATGCATTGGTACGAAAGACTCAATTTTTTGGAAGCTTTTTTTAGAATCACAAAATTTCTATGGCCGAGTCAGATTAGGAAAAGACTTTTTTTTATCACTAACTTCGGGAAGTACTGCTATATAGCCATGCCTTTTGGTCTGAAAATCGTTGGGGTAACTTATCAAAGAATGGTGAATGGAGTCTTTCTTAAATTGATTAGGGATGTTATAGAGGACTATGTGGTTAAAAGTGCCAAGGATAACAACCACGTGGCTTGCTTGCAGAAAGTGTTTGATATTGCCGACTCGAAGAAATAGAAAAAAATTATATTTTTGGGTTTGAGCTAAATTTATTAGTTAGAAAAATTTATTTAAAAAATAAAATAATTTTGCTTATTAAAATAAATAATTTTAAAAAATAGGAGGATTCGACTCTTGATCTAGAACCGATAACTGAACATGTCGATTTTCGATTCAGATATCCGTTTGGATATTTAACTTAAAAAGAACCACTCGATTTAATTTTGTTCGAGAGTTTTGTTTAACCATAGAAGGAATAGAATGGAAAATCGAAGACCACTATACATAGTGTCTTTATACATAGCAACCTCGAGGGGGTCGGACTCGAAAGTCTCTATTTGGGCCTAGGCGTTCTATAAACATAATCGTCAACACCATTAAATTTGCCAAGTGATTTTTCCAAATTGAGTGGGGAATTATAAATGCTATAGTAATTTAGAATCTCAAGAACTACTACCTCCCCTTCCG